AATTCTGCCGTTGCCTGGAATCGCGCGATCGGATGGTGGGGGTCAGAGCTCACACAACAAGCACTGCTTAAGGTGAGATCGTTTCCCACATATCCATAGATGTTGTTCCCAGGCATCCATAGGTAGAGGTGTCAAGCTTTTTACACAGATAATGAATCCTTGTCCACCGTGGCACCCTTACCAGCTCCTCTTTCCATAAGCGGTAGGCCATACAGCGTTCTTGAAATCCTTTCTTTCCAGTCACAGTGTTGCACAGTTCACAATATACACGTTAGTATAACATGCTTGGAACAGATAGTTGAAAGTTTTATGCGGTCCTACAAGGAACATTTGACTCTTCGCATAACTTGACTGCCACTGAGGGAACTGGCCACTAAAAGTCCTATGTTTAAGCTCCTCCGCCATGCTATTATGTATTCATTAACAATGATGTTTGGGAGCTTGAGTTAGACAGGTGTGACACTGTATATGACCTTTGAGAGTTGAAAACATGCACAGCTTTCTTTACATTGATTTGATATTCCTGGCGCATGGTAAATCCTTTGCACCTCCGAGGCAACGCTCCAGCCCTCTCCTCGTAGTAGATAAAGCACCCTGTCATCAGCAGAGACTAGTTCATTCGCTGTACATTTCACCACATAACAACCGATTGGTAACATCTGCAACTCACAAAGAGGCTAAACTATGTACACATTGAACAGCAGTGGTAAGACGTTACCCCCTTGACGCATACCATCATGTACAAAGAAAGGATCCGATACACTGCCTGACCACTTAACTTCTACCTTTGAATGGTTCCTTGCCACCCTAGAAAGACTCCTCTTGCTGGCTTCACTTTTGCAGTTTGTTTTGCAACAGTTTTCATCTTTGCGGATCAGGGACCGGGAATCGTTCGGAACCTTTCGGGAAAAATTTTCGGGGAGAAGGTCAATTTGACCCCTCCCACCCGAGCGCGTGTTAAGGGACTGATGTATTCAAGGATGTGGGCGTTGGTATAGGAACGACAAGAAAGGTCGTACATTTCTTCAAACTTTCCACTCTCTATGTGCCTGGCTCAAGTGTATTAAAAATCATCCGGCGACTTTGTGACCCAGTAAACCATACATACTGACGTGCTGAACTAGGGAAACAAATGGATGAAACAACAATGTAAGCACATTTCTCAACCCGGTAAACCACATTTGTGTTTGCCATCACGGCAGTGGCACAACACAATAACGTTTTTATTCCTATATTGGCGTCATACATTACCTTGTGCCTTTTATGCTATTGGCACCAATGGAACATAGGACGTTAAGAACAATACCTTTTTCGCCGGTGGAACAGTGTCAATGCTTTGCTATTTATTCATTGATTTATGTCTTGATTGTTTTCGGTAACCAGACTATTATTTGAGATGAAAATGGCTTTCTATAAAAAGCCCGCGATAGCTTTGGAAACGTAGCCATCGCATGTAGAAAGAGATAACACTCATGCTACGGCAGCCTTCCTTTGCAATTCACATGCTAAGTATGAACTTGAGCTACATAGAAAGTTGAACTACGTAGAAACTTGAACTACCGAGAACTACCGTGAGCCTGATGTTCCCGGTACTGTCTGCGTGCGCCAGTGTCGTCCAATAAAAAGGTTGCATCGTTTTGAAATGTTGACCACATAAGTTTGACTAAGAAACAAAACATGAATGTGCTGATAAAATCCTCTTGGACGAAACCTCCGCGCCGCTGCGTGCTGTTAAGATTAATGACAGGGGGTTCAATGACAAGGTTTCAATGGATCATCAGAGCATGGGCTTTGTAATGTTTTTCAACAGCATTACGCTCTCTTTAAGTATCTTGCAGACCTCAAAGCCACTTCATGGATTTGATTTCTGTGTTTGAAGGTGGACTTGCAACAGTTTATATATCGTTCACAGCACTGGCGCAAGGAGCCCTCCGTTCAGTACTGCGGCGCCCCCACTGACAGAATGCTCCCACAGCTACCTTATCGACCTTTTCCTTGTCATTTCTAATCATTCCTTCGCTGTCAAACAGCCTCGACCAATTCGGGGCGAACTTCACCAAGAAGAGCACCAGCAACTCACCCTCAATGGTCACCAGCACCAGACAAAACACGACAATCAGTCAGCAGACGCATGATTGGCGAGGGGCCGAACAGAATATGCTTAGGTTACCTTTGATCGCCCTATATAGCGGTGAACACGGATCAGGAAGCAGAGGGGAGTCGATCATTCCCGTCCCTCCAAAGATCAACGAGCTAAAATGTTCGATGACATTTGCATTGACGAGGTGAAATCCTTAACTGCAGCCCTTGTTTACGAGCGTGGTGGATTGGCATAGACGGAGCAACTGCTCAGTCATACCGGGCAGAATGTAGAGTACAGTGCCGGACTGGCACATCGGAGGCGTTCAGAATGTGTGTACAACGCAACCAGCTTGTTCCGATCCAATAAGCTGCGCTTTACCTCACGTTGAATAATAAAGTTTGAAGGCATTAAGGTTGCGATGGGCGAGTTTGGTAATTTCTTTTTCCGTGAATTTTTGGTGTCGCTTCCAGTGGAGCTGAGCTAGACAAAGAGCCGCATTTGTTGTGAACGATTCGGACGTTGAATACACATGTGAAACATGACGCAAATATGAGTTCGGTCGGGTTTAAACTAAACAAGATACGCTTGAAATAGAATGCTCTACATTGAAAATATTCAAGCAAGCGCTGGATATGATGACATAGCTCACTTATAACTGTTGATATGCTTCTTAAGTGGAAAAGACTGTTGTAGACAACATTATGCTCTGTGTAGTAAATATGCTCCTCAGTGCGTCATAGCTTGATTACGTGATTGCACCTTGCACAACATCGATTGGAAGCCAATTGACGGATGTCACATCTGGAAATCGCGCTCCCGAATGTCAGATATGAACGCCCCGTGAACAAGATTCGTTTGACTTTAACACACGCTCGTGGGGGGGGGGGGAAACTGACCCCTCCACCGAACATTTTTCTGGAATGATTTGCGAACGGCGCGGCGTAGTCGCGTCAAATTTTGCATAGCTGTAGAAAATTGAATAGCGGATCGTCGGGGATCAAACGTATAGATGTCCTTGCAAAGTCGCTGACCTATGGTGGGTCAAAGTAAGGCCATGGTTTCAGGGAAGGCATTTTCTAGGGAATCGTTCAACCTGATCCAACAACGTTAGAGTGTTAGACGAAGCCATACATCTCTAAGATGCTTTCTTAGCCAACACAGCTACTGAATGAACAAATCACACTGACCTAAGGTCAGGTATGAGGGTCAGACAAAAGTCAATCACAACATGTTTTATTACTCTAGCGTTTGCTGTATGGGGTAGTTCCTGGTGCTTATTTCGAAGTTATTGATAACTGGAACCGTATTATACATCTTCCATGTACTTCTGTAAGGTCTGGATATGTCAGTGACCTAGAATGACCCAAGTTAGCATTTTGTTTTTAGGAACATATGCCTGGCGCAATCTTTGTCGTTTATCCCAATGCAAAAGTTAAGGCGGTCTTGGATGATTTTGGTCACCATGATCTTTAAAATGTCAAACAAGGTCACTTACGTGAAATGGGCATGTGAGGTTTTGCTTAGAACAGTTATCTATATTCCAGGAGCCCTTTGGAGACTACCCTGGAATTTGACATTGCTTGACCCGATTTCACTCAAAGTTCATGACCTAGGAGCCTCAATATTTAATCTAAGTGAGTTCACGTATAGGTCAATACAGCCTGTGAGTTTTGTGTATTCTCTCTTAGTTCTTGGGATTTCACAGGGTCAAATTGACTCCCACCCGAGCGAAGGGTGTCCAACCGGTCACCCGTGCGCGTATTCATCACCGCATGGCTTATGGAATGACAGAATTTGAATGACGATATGGCTACGTCATGGATACCAAGATGACCTTGAAATACTCTGCCCGATGCAGCTTTCCCACTGTCGTGGGCGTATAGTTCAGAAACTAGAGAGGCTAATGTCTTAAAAAGGGCAGGATTGTGAGCAGTATCAAAAGGTCCTCAAGATAGCTAGTTCAGGTCAAAACAACAGTGTGGAACACTTCTGTTTGTTTTGAAATTGGATTCTATAGAGTGACATCCAGTAGACAGCTTTTACGTTAAATGCTCAGCGTTGTATACTTAGTTATGAATGATACATAAATTGCCGTATTATCCTATCAATGTATAGCCTGGAACAATATTTTAGCGTATCTTACCCCAGATTCAGCCTAGATTTCGCACCATTCATGCACTTTACGGACCAATATCTCCCCGAGGAAGTCAAAATTCTGGCCAGCTGCATCATCTCGACGAAACTCCTGTTGATGCAAAGGCAGCGATGCTTACAAATATGACCTACCTTGCCTAGAGTGGAGGTTGTACACGATAGGCAAAACGCTTTGTCCATGGGGCTGCCTGTGGGCTTTTTTATAGCAATTTATTAGACCGTCGACCGATGCTCGTTTTGATGGCTGCAGAAACCATATGGGCCATCTTTAGAACGGCGAAATCACGTAGGAAAACTATCTAAGAGAATGTTTCGCTTGTGTAACGGTGTTACAGCATGCGCAGGACGCGCTGCATATCAAATGAAAACACTAATAAACCCCAAGACAAACGATGGAAATGGAATGTGAAAATGATCATCACGCATCTTGTCAACAGGTAGGTTGGAATAGTTGGAAGATATGATGGCTATAGGGTGGTCCTTACGTTTTTCTTCGAAGTTGACTCATCTAGTGACCAACCCATGCTCATTAGTCTGGCTGAAGGAATCTGATGGAAAATCGATATTCAGGGAGCGAAAACCTCCCCGAAAGCCTTGATAATCGAACTTGTTACTTACCTAACGAGAAAAATATGCCTAGTTTTCTGTCAAATGGAAGCACCAGTGAACAAAATTGCACAGATGCAAAAAAAATGTCCAAATTTTCCAGGCAAAGTTAGAGACCATGAAAAACTCTAATCTTTAGGCTTTTCTACGATTTTCTTGAAGGTTGGCTCAAGGATCTGGAGGTTATGCTCAGAAGGCCAAGGTCCAGACCTGAGAGTTCGGGAAGCCGAGACACAGAATGTCGATGTTGAAATATTCGGCGCTAAGTTGGCTTACGTTCAGGTGTTCGAGGCCCTTTCGGCCGATACAATGTCAAAGGTCTGGTACAAGGTCAAAGTTCAGAGAGTTTGGATTAGAGAAATCAATACTCAGAATGTCACGGTTCAGGAGATCGAGGAGCTGGCGATCGCCTCAGAAAACGTCCATGTTCTGAGTGCTGGAATTTTCAATGTTTTCAATGTGAACGAATTACGTGTATCGAATTACATAACCTTAGGCGGAAAGGAGTCTGTGTGTGGACCTGTCGATCCATAGGACGCTGATATGGGCATTTTGTCAACCTGAAAATGACCTACTTTGTACCTGATGGCGTCGAGTACCCGTTTGTCAGATGACCAGGTGTCGTTCGCAATGCACGCCACAATACCCATGCTTTACGGACCGGCGCCGATGCATTTTGAGCTGGCACAACAGATGCTAACAAATAGTTGGTTCCGTAATTGTATTCAACGTAAAGCCCAACTACAAGCAGCTAAATGTCCGCTTCGCATAAACACCTGTTAATAATTACGTGCGACCTTGCTGTTACGCCACCAGCATAGCATGGGTCTTCTTTGTGCATGCAGTCACTTCACATCTGGTGTCAGTGCAGTCGTTACCTATCCCTTGACGACAGCGGCAGCCGGCAGCAAGTGGTGCAGCTAGCCTTTCTTGCAATGTTTTCCTTTGCAGAAGACGCAGCACCATCCTTTGTGACATTTGCCGTTTAGTGTGCTGCAGGTATTTGGGAAACTGCATTTTCTCCCGCATTCACCTGAAATTAGAGAACGGTCACTTGCAGGGATTTGTGGATGTTAAATCCTCTGCAGCACGCTGATGCAGCTTCGACGAACATAACGTCAGCCAATTTCAGTGCAAAAGCGTGCCATTTATGCCAACCATCCTATGAATAAAAAAAACGCTGCTAACATGAGCACATGCAATGCTCGAAATGCATATTCCATCTCTAAGAAACCTGGAGAGCGCATTTCGTGAGAGAAAGCCTGATGGGCGAGCGATCGGCGTGATGCATGACATGAGTTGATGAGTATCTCACAGTCAACCTCCACTTTAGCTGGGGTTTTGTGTAGCACAAGTCCACAGTAGTTCAGAAATGCACCACTTCTATAAATGGTCTTCGCTGAGAGCTACGGTCTAATTTGGGCCTTCAATGGGTCAGTGACCTTGCAAAGTACGCCTAAATCTTGCATAGCACAAGATCCAGCCTTTAAATGTTTACAGCTATGCAAAGTTTTGTGTGACCACGCCGCGCCGTTCGCAATCCATTTTGAAAAAAACAAACATCCGGGGCAACTTCACACACACACGAGCGTATGTTAGAACTAAATAGCACATCTCGTGAGGGGAGATCTTACATGTAGGCTATCGATGTGATGCATGACAACAGTTCATGAACATGTTACTAACGACCTCTAGTTTGAACTGAAGTTTCGTAGTTCATAGCGTCGCACATCACCATGGCGACAACGTTTGCTCAGCACCAGGCGACAACGACTGGAACGTACCGTATGTGTCGCCCGGAAGACAGCAGAGACGTTTGTGGGGCCTCCAACACCAGCGGCAGACATCCCTGTTCCATTTTCCACACGCCTTGCCGAATTTGCGACACCTTCCACCTGCAATGCACCGGTTGGTTAGCTCCGTTTACGGTTGAAGCCTGCCACACTTTTGACGTGCTAGAACTCAAGGAGTCAATTAGCACGATACAACGCCTGTGTGCACGACGGTCTGGAGTGCTGACAATTGAGGTACAGATCTGGCATATGGCTAGCGGCCTAATGCGCTGCTGAAGGAACCCAAAGGGCTCTTTACGATCTCAATAAAAAAGGCTCGATCAAAGCTTTGACACCAATCAGACAGACAATCGTGACTGCCCACAAGGAATACATGATTCTCCTGGGCTGGTTGAGGTGTGATTGCCCCCCGAATACCTCACGAACACATCCCCGCGGGGGACTGAATGGGATCACTTTACCTTTTTGCATTTTTCCTTATGTCTAAATTAGACACGCCCGGTTTAACAAGATTAATAATCCGGTTGATTTCGCACCACCCTGTTGGTGCACATCCCGGTGGTGCTGGTACAAGACATTTTGGGATGGTCAGTCGACCAGAACGATTCTGCTCAATATAGCAGCTGCTACTACGAGTACTAGCTTCAGACGGGGTATTTTATCAGCTGGATAGTTTGCCTAGATGCATAGTCAGATCACAGTGCGCGATACTGTTTGCTACAAAATAGTCCTATCATTAGCACACCAGCTTTACCATGGTAAAAAAGAAAAGTGGACGTAGAAACGTGAGGAAGTGAGACATAAAGCTGACAGTTTTTCTTGTGCAGACGTCTGCACCATAGGTCTCACAGAACATATGAAGGCGGGGTAGAAGGCCCATCAGCTATTTTTGGGGACATGCTGTCTCTGTCGCTCCCACCTACCAGTGGTATCTGCTTTGGCAACCACGGAAGTTCGGTGATAAAGGTGGAAATCGGCAGTGCAGTATGATGGAATGACTTACAATAAATTATTCACATCCGATATATGCCACACACAAATATCTCTACTTGGCTGCCCGAAGTACAACCATAATCATTACATAGGGTCCATCCCCATTGTTCACCACAGCGTGACTTTGAAATCTTCTTTAATGGTCACACACTTCCTAAAGTCCCTGAGGGTTTTCATTTTTGCAACGGATTTTGCGACAGTTTTTAACCTTTACAGAACGAGGACCAAGAACTCTCCGTATGGTGCTAAACGCCCCGGCTAACACAGAATACTTTCATGGTCTCTTTATGGAGCTTTTTATTGTCATATCTGTCATATACTTCCATTGCCCAATAGCCGCGACCAACACAAGAGGACATTGCCAAGAAAAACACCAGTAACTCACCTTCAGTGGTCACCAACACCACACAAAGCACGACAATCAATGGCAGCAGTCGCATTGTTGGTGAGAGACGACTCAAAAGGATATGCCCATGCTGCCTTTGGTCGCTTTTTATACTGGCAAAAACGAACCATGAGGCGGAGGGGGCGTCAATCATCCCGTCCCCTCTAAAGGTCAGCGAACTGGCCTGTGATGTACGGCGACATTTACAAGAACAAGGTGATATCATCAACCGCAACCCTCGTTTACGAACGTGCCAATGGTGCACGGAGTAGTGCTTAGTCACACAGGGAAGGGCGTAGAGGACAATGCCGACATGGCCCATGCAACGCATTCGGGATGTATGTACATGGAACGTACTGACCGATTGTGATAAAGCGTTGCGTTACTCACCTCGTTGAATTAGGATGTTGCACGGTGTTAATAGTCGAGTTGCCATTCTTACACTTCTTTTATGAGACCTTGTAATGTCGACTTCCGCGAACGTTTTTCACGGAAATATGTCCTATATAGCTTGGAGACCCAAATTAGCGTACGCGCTACTTGTTTTACCGAACATATCGCAGAATTCAAGATGGCGGCCGCCACCATCCTGAACGTGTGTCCGGTTTCAAAATTGTTTTCTCTATGGATACGAGTGTTGTTCAACACGATTTTTGAGATATTTCCTGCTGCAGGGAGTCCATTTCTGCTATTATTTGTCACAAATGGGCTCGAATTCAAGGCCAAGTCGAGGGTCAAAGGTCAAAGATGATCACGAGAAACGGCAATCACCTCTATTGATTGATACACGTGCTGTGTCTTTATGTCCTCATTGTAAGGATGCCACTCACAGAAGCGGCATGTGTTCTATACGGCAGCCATATTAACATACGCTTCACACATGACGCATGCACTATAGAATACGTTTTTTCACCTGGTTGTGTACGTGCAGCCGAGTTATCATCTTCATGCTTCTTATATGACACTGCAATGTCAACTACCGCGATCTTCAAACGAAAATCTGCAGCCGCAACAAGCAAAGTGCATGCCGCTGGCGCACAGGCTGCTGCAAGTGTTAAGGAGAGATCGCATGCCATGAAACATATCGTCACTTCCAGAGCCGTTGTTTATAGTAATTTGTGTTACTGACCATTTGTTCATGTCACTTGATGTGAGCAGGAAAAAAGTGACGTAAGCAGGTTCAAATCATTGTTTGTTTGTTCCGCAGCCTAAGCCCTGTACAACTAAGGCGATACAATCAATTCTTGGCGCTGAATTCATTCCTCACAGGATTACTTTAGATGCTAGAGCAGTCATGGTCTTTAATGTAACTCGGCCCTCCTCAGAGTTTATCTGTCAATCCTGCCGTGACGTCATCACGGGGCGCCGAGCGAACCGAAAGCATTGCAAACCCATAGGAAGGGTGTTTTTCAGAGGCAGCTTTTGGGCAGTTTGAAAAGATACAGACGGCTAAAGCGCTTTCAGCATCCGGTAAATCGTGTCTTCTGTCGTACACCAAGCGTGCTCTGGCTCTTGTACACCAAGTTCAGTGCCGTAGCTTTGAATTGCACGGCATTTTGCATAGGCGTTGCGACATTAACCTAGGTGGCGCTACCTGTATCAATACTTACTTTACAGATGACGCTAGTGTTCTTCGCGGACATATGATACCCATCCAGTTTTTCAAAAGTTACATTTTGCTTCTTAAAGCGTTCTGCGCGTTGGAATGCAAGCCGTGCTTGCCGGGTTTGAGATGCCTTAATGTCTTGTAGGCAAATGTATTTCCACTATGTTGTGTGGCCACTGAGGCATATTCTGGACCCATTTCTCTGACTTCCTAGTGTAGATGTCATCTAATATTCTACCACTGTATTGGACAGCTACATTGCTGAACCAGCTAAGATTGACGTTAACTTGAAAATTTGACAGCTTTCTGGGCACGAGTGGCGCTTTTGACGTTTGAAATTGGCTGAGTATTGAAGGCGTGATATGGACATGGGACATTTTGAGCTCACCATCAATATTAGTGGACATGTTCGTGCATGAATACCTCCACCGCTCAAAACGATAATCCTACCCATGTATCAGATCAAGTCCATATGCAGAAAGATTACAACACCGTGCAAACTAATAATTCTAGTGCATATGTTCCGCATATATAGAATACCAATGTGATACAGAGATGAAACACAATGCCAGATAATGATATCGTTGCAAAATGCCGCACGCGGAGGAAGCAGCTACCAAAAGGGTCGTAGCAGTGTACAAGCAAGACGTCATGTATGCTGTCCACATCGAGACACAGATAGATGCGTAGCTTTAGCGTAGCTTTTGCACGTAGCTTTTGCGTCCAGGCCAACAGATAACAGCACGATGTCATGATGTCATGATGTCATGATGTCATGATGTCATGATGTCATGATGTAGTCAGAAAGGCATCATCTACCCTCTACGCAACAGAATCACACGTCCCACAAACGCGCTCACCAGTCCCAGGAAGCGTGCCGGGATGTGGAACCCAATCAACCCCCTCCCCCCCCTTCAGCCTCCATCCAGAACAGTGAGAACCTAGGCCGATCGACCGGAAACTGACACTGCTGGCCAAATGGGTATACATTAATAATTCAGTGGCGGCGCTTATTTTAAGGCACTACGATGCCAGCTAACTAAATTTTGGAGCCCACTAGAGCACCTTTCAAAATAATTTCATTTCCAGATGGTGATAAAACGCCGCTTCTTACTCGATACATTTCAGATGGATGTTATGGCCTGCACTCATCCAGACATTACCGCCGTTATATGCGCTGTGTTTTTCGTGATATAATGCATATTCATGGAAATAGTTTAGTAGCATTTTTATTTTATCCACCCCATGCAAAACATGGCATGGCGTCGCGCCGAGAACTTAGGCTCTTTAACATATCTGACCCAGCCTATGCCAAGTTTTGGGACACCTGTCAAACTAGCAGCAGTTTTATATCAAGCTGTACATAGATATTCAGGACTTTCACAATCTGCCTAGAAATCGGTGGACTAATAACGTTAAGTCTACGCGTTTCAAAACCTGAACAGGTAAGGTGGGCACGCGCAACTGCGCAAAATATTTCAGGTTTAGGTTTTAGGTCAATTAGAGCAGACCGTTGCGATGGAGCTTACAAAGTGAACCCGCAAACCAGTGCCTAAGTCTTTTAAAGCGCTAAGTTTGAGCATATTATATTGTGCAATTATATATATTATATTGTGACACCACTTTTGACAGATTTTCCATGACAGGGAGTCTATTTCTGCACTTTGTTTTCACGAATGGGTCAAATTCATGGCCAAGTTGCCGGTCAAAGGTCAAAGGTTGCTAAATCTCAAATGTTATTTGTGATGCACAAATTTTTAACTTCGCAGCTCCCTGCATCATTCGATTTAATTTACAATCTCTACGAATCCAATGACATGGATATGAGGCGAGCAAAACATTTAGAACAACCTTTCTCTTATCGTAGTCATAGACTATTTACAGCATTCTGCCTTGGCCCTAAGCTGTGGAACGACATTATGGTTTCATATTTTCCAAGAATAGCTTATATCCCTGTATCGAAGACCATCGTTAAGAACATCATCCGCAAGCATTTCGTGAACACATATTAACGTAACAAACGTAGTTGAAGACATTGCCATCCTTGTGCTGTACATATCCAACGCACTACATGTTTGACCTCCTTCATGTTTCATAATCAATTTCTGATATACAGTCATGCACATATACCCAAATTCATGGCGCTGGCTCCGGGAGTTCTCCCAGCAACAAGCTCTGCTTAGCTGGGTGGACTCCCTGGAAATCCAGCCCAAAACCCAGCACAAAAATGACCAGGTAATTGCCCCCTCCGACTTGTGACTGTATAACCCTTACTAACACGGGGAATTGAGTGGTTGTAGATTATTGGGCGGTTGTAGCGGGCTGTCATTAGCTGATTTTGGCTAATGACTACTTTAAGCCTTTTCATCTATGATTTTTCCCTACCTCTCACATAACACAATTCCCTCGGGTCTGCTCCACCTCCTCGCCTGTTTTTTTTAAAGTTTGTTTCATCTTCCTAGCTGGGAGTGCCGCGACTTGATTTTATGTTTTCTGGTGTTAACGTACGGTTTACTGCGTCGCTGGGATTGAGGGAGGGCACTCCTGATTGCCTGTTCTTGGGTAACGGCCTAGAAAAAAAAGAAAAAAAAAGATGATTACGAATGACGAAAATAATCTCGATTGATCGATACATGTCGTGCAGTGTCCTCTTGCACTCACTGTAGGTGTGCCACTCACGGAGGCAGCACGTGTTATATACCGTAGTCATATAAACATGTGCTACATACACGACGCATGCGCTGTAGAAAACGTTTCCACCTGACCGCGCACGTGTGGAATAGTTGTCATCCTCGTACTTTTTATATGAGACCCTGCAATGTCAGCTGCCACGAAAGAGTAACGGAAATCTTCTATGTAACCAGTTCAATGTAGTCAGGAGGCCAAATTTCCTTGTCTTGCTGCTGGCGCATCTTTGCACATTTCTCAGAATTCAGAATGCTAATCCAGTCTCGAACTTTTATGTTGCTGACCTAGACGGTCGTGTGAGACCGTTGTAGAGAGAACTTCGATGGCAGGGAGCCCATTTCTGCTGTTATTTTTTATGCATGACGTCAACATGAGAGTCAAATCGAAAATGAAACGTTGAACTTGATTTATATCACTAAAATCACTTCCATTGAGCGATGCCTGTGTTTTCTGTCCTCTCGTATTCGTTGTAAGAGTACAACTCACAGCAGATGCATGTCTTATAAATAGTAAAAATATAGAAGGATGCGCGAAACGCACGACGTATGTTTTGAGAATACCATAAGGCTTTGGTATATCAGGTATATAAAGGTACACAAGTACCAACGGATGTACTATAGTTTCCGTTCAGAAACTCGTTGCTGCAATGTGACACGCTACGAGCGACACGCTATGACACTCAGAAACTCGTCGCCGGAATGTGACACACTATGAGTGACACGTTATGACACTCCGAAACCCGTCGCCGCATTGTGGCACGCTATAAGTGACACGCTGTGATACTCAGAAACTCGTCGCCGCAATGTGACACACTATGAGT